GAGTGCAGCTGACGCGCTGGAGATGAACATCTGTCAGAGACAAGAGAGAACAGCTCTGTGGAGTGAAGATGCAAATACAACAATATTTCTATTAAGATAATCTAAATATGATTTAGGATGAGTGCATCAACAATACAGAGGCTTGACATTTTTTTTTGTAACTGTATATTCTATCATAACTTTCACGTTTCATATGGCTTTATTTGGTGATATTTTATGGTGTTTCTGTGTCATAAACAACATCAGCTATCATAATCATGCCTGATTTCAATAAGGTACAATGTTTGAAGCTGGCTGAGTGTTGTTTGATCACTGATAGTTCTGTTTTGAAGCAGAGAGACCGACTTGTCATTTTGAGCTCCGCCTGGATTTTTCATGGAAAAAACACTGTAGAATGGTCATACTTTGAGCAATCTTCTTCAAATGTGAAACAAAAGTTCATTGATAGTGTGCCTACAGCCCCACAGTGTCATTTACCTGCTCAGATGAAGCCACAGACAGTTATTCATCCTGAAACACATTTTTTATTTTATTTTAGGCAAAATCTTCAATTTTTTACTGACTACAGAGGCCCATTACTCTGTCTCTGTATCACCTAGAGTGTTTCTGACACTTTCACAAGAAAATTCAGAGAGTTTTCTTTCTGGCAAGATCTCATGCATGCATGTAGTCAGAGCGGTTCAGAAGCTACAGTCATTTTAATTTGGGTATGTCATTTTGCTACAAAATGGGGGTGGAGTACAAGAGGTTTTAATTTTGGATAAGCGGAGGGCATACAAATTTAAATACTCATATTTTTTACTTTACTGACGATTTTTAAAGACCATGGAAGGCATTGTCTTTAAAAATTGCATTTTCTTCACAAAAAATGCCAAAGTGACCTCATCTATCACAGCCAGAATCTGTAAAAACAGAGATTATGTTGGATTTAAAATTTCCAGTTGGAAACGTCATGTGTGACAACAGCTTCCATCAGAAAGAAAAACCACTTAAAAAACAACCGAATTTGAGTTCAGAAAAGTGCTATTTAATTAAAATCAATTTATTCTACGTCTCGTCATAAATAAAGCATTTGCATAACAAGAGTGAAAAACTGAGGCTTTTTTCAACTCGCGGATTTTATCTTCTTCTTTTATCGTAGTTTTAAAAATCTAATAACTAATTTATGGCAGAGGGAAGGTCAGGGATTTTTCTCCAGTCACTCGTCCTACTGTTGTTGAATGGCAACAGTGGTCAGTACTCTTCACTTTATGATGTACTTATGTCCTGTATGGATCAAATGCAGTTATTTTAACAGAACACACAAACTGATTCTAAACCTAAACAAGTAGTTTGGTGCCTGAACCCAACCACGCCACCACTACAACCTGGTCTCAAATCGTTGAATCCCAATGCTTGGGCAGTGACTTCCGACGTCAGACACCAACGAAAAAAGCTGTTCTTTCACGTCAGCATGATACGTGGCCTGTCAGTGTTACTGTTTAATGATGTGAAATAAGTAGAACACTTTTAAAACACATATTTTTTATTTGGATAAAGCATCATACAGCCATCAGATGCATTTTAATGTGCACTGTCTGTATGTAAATCTGGTGAAGGGAAATCAAAGTCCAGTCAAATGAAAATAGGTCTGCTCAGAGTCCCACGTTGTTCTAAGTGCAGCCCTTGAGTGAACATACCTCGTCCTCCGGCAGGTGTCTACTGGGAACGAGCAGGATAAGGAATATATGAACTCTCTCCCAGAGCCCAAATATTCAGGCCTGTGCTGTCGTCCAACTAAAACTTTCCACAACTCTCTGTGTAGCTGGCTGCCCTGATATGATTTATGGAACCACATTTAATGGACAACAGAGAGCAACAAAGCCCGGCTTGCTTTGTGTTTCATCAGGGCTCAAAATAAATGTTCACTTTTTATGCATATTTACACCCCAATATTATTCAGGAGGATCAACATTTCCATTTGGGGCATGAAAACACCATTTCCCATCTGGTCTAAGCCCCCATCATGATTATGTGCTGGGATAGGCTCGTATTACCCAGGGTATCCTATTTCATGTTCTTTTTTTCCTGGTCACACTGAGTTCTCTTTTCATAATAATATCCAACGTATTCAGCTTAATTATGTATGCTGGGGTATTTGTGATTAGGATATGAATATGCATATAAACAGCTTAGCCCAAATATGACCTCAAGTGGAGCGTGAGCTGCTATCCTCAGTATCCTCTCTGTATTAAGGCGCTCAGTGGTGCGATGTCATTTTCACTGAAATTTCCTAATAAGCTTGACTTAATAGGCCCACCATGGATACTTGTGATTAGAAACAGGCACTGACATCTTTTCACACTGCATATTTCCTCACTGATTAACGTCTTGATTTCCATGCTCACAATATTAAAGCACAATTTATGGAGGTTTAAGATAGTTTTCACACCTGGCTTGTTCAGTTCGGTGGAATCAAAACTTGGGAGTGTTGATCCTGTTGGTGCAGTTTGTTCTGGCAGGTGTGAACGCAGCAGTCACACTCAGGTATGGACCAAAACCACCAGACTGAGGCCTTGTTCAAGAAGTGGTCTGAACTCAGTTACATGGATTAATGGATTAAAACAGCTACGTCGCTACCTGTGCTGTGCCTATCATGTGTCTACCTGCTGGATCTTTAGAGATAGTTTTAGCTGATGAGCATATTACAGTTCAGGAGGATTATGTACCTGAATTCTTGATATGTGCCTTCAGCACCTCCATTGCATCAAAACATTATTTTCCAGCCAAGCCGTACCTCTTTTTTTTTTTATTTTTTTGTATTGGTGTGTCACGGCAGGGTTTTTTTAGATATAATTTTCCTCTTAAATTATACCCCCCCCCCCCCCGCCCCCACTTTGTCTAAACATGATCTATCTTAATTTGCTCTTGCATATCAATTTTTCGATTTCCAAATAACATCCTTTTGATCTCAAACCATTTTTTCAGTTAATTTATTTCTGTTGTGATCTCCATCAAAAGCAGCTGGAAATCCTCTCTGGAGCTTAAAACAGCAGTATCATCTGCAAATAAAACAAATTTTAATGTTAACTCAACGTAAGTCATTAATATATAATATAAACAATTTTGGTCCCAATACTGACCCCTAGGGGTACACCACCAGTAATGTTATAACATAAAGATTTCCATTCGCCCATTTGAACAAACTGCTGCCTGTTTTTTAAATAACTTTTTTAACCAATTCAGTGCTGTTCCCCTGATGCCACATTTTCCCAGTTGGATTATTTATTGCTGAATTACAGCTCACAACTCGCACCAACGCTGCTCTGCTCTGATTGCTTCTGCTGGCTACTGAAACATCCTGGTGCAGACTATTTACTGGAGTTTACCAGCCTGTCGCTCAGGCTGCACCTGAAGATAATTACAAGCACGGCTGTTCTCAGCTTTCGATGTCTGATAGTCCACCACTGACATTTATCACGTCGTCTCATCAACAAAAATGAAACATAGATTTTTGGGCCCGACTGATTTATCAGCCGGCCGATTTAATCGGCCGATTATAGCCATTAGAGAATAATCAGCAATCTGCCAAAAGTTGGCCGATTGACGCCGATGTTAACACTTATATTTTCATCACTAATAAAATGCAGGGAATATGGTGTTTTACTTAGAAATGATGTCCTTGTGTTACTTTTTGCACTATAACCTACCTCTGTTAAGTTGTCAATAATAAGAAGAACTCTGGTACTGTGAACATACATGTGAATGTCTTAATTCATAGAGACTTTGCATGATTATTTTATTTCCCAGAGGTTTACTGCCTTTTTGCACATCATATTTTTGATTTATTTTGTGTTCAAATTGTTCATATGCTGCTTGTTCCACACAATTTCTGATAATAAAAGTATTTGAAAATAGTAAAATGTTCTTCCTTCAATTTATATCTTTGTCACGAGTGTTTGAACTATATTTAAGCCATCAAAAGCAGGTATTTCTGGGTTTTTTAAATTGAAAAACGTAAAAATGTAATTGGCCGATATATCGGTTATTGGATTTTTTTATTCCATAATATCGGAATCGGCATCGGCCCCAAAAAATCCATATCAATCGGGCCCTATAGATTTCATCTTAGTTTTTATTATTATGATCTATTTTATAGCTCATCATCGTCTCGTTTTTGTCGTGGAAAAAAGGTAGTGGACGAAAAATGTTCATCATAATTTTCAAAATCAACACTGCATTAGACATTAAGTATTTTCTACATATATTGTGCAGCCTCTAATCTATAACGATGCATCATGCTTGATCAGATTTATTAGATATTTTGTATGTAAAATCTTTATCTGCGAAGTCATCTCACTATCAGCAAATAAATGAAGTAAAACAGTGAAAACAGAAGCTTCTGAAATGCAGCCGAATATAATGTAACATAAATCATAAAGCCTAAATGTACAATCACCTCCACCACTGGTTCTGTATCACCTGTACTGTGTTTCATTAAGCAGCAACATGTCGTCTCAGGACAGAAGTAAGAAGCAAAGGAAAAATGATTGGTGCTTCCTAATCTGAGGTCCGGGGTCGTGGAGAGGTTTCTGAGAGGTCCCTGTCAAAATGAAGGTTGGTTCAATTTCACTCTCTCTGTTATCTCCCCGTCCACAGTACAGAAAGGCAACAAAAGCCTTTGAAAGGCTCTGTGGGATGAAACCTCTATTAAGTCTTCCAGACCTCTATTAGGTCCGGATTGATTTTTTGACATAAAAGTTTGGGTGGCTATAACTTTATAGAATTTGTCAGTGACTTCCTCCAAACACAGAGCATCCTCAAACATCTACAGGGTTTCTAAACTATTTTTTATCCCCTCCCAGAGGGGGGCCTTGGATGAATGTGCACACCTCTCCGAGCAGAAATGGGTTCCCCTAAAAATCCTATCGGCGCCCCTGGGTGTGAGGGTTACAGCCTTTGAGCCGGTCTTATCTCGGCTTGTATTTTAAATAGGATGCACTCTGTCTTGTGATGACAGGTGAATCCAGGGATCTGACCGTCCGTGCCACGCATGCACCGCTGGAGCGCACGAATCCAGTCGCACCGCCCTCCTGTCCGCCTGCTGCTGCCGGGAGGAGCGGAGGAGAGAGCAGACCGGAGCGCAGCATCAACACTCACGGTACCGTTGGGATGTGGCAGCGGTCTCGACAGCTAGAAATGCCCCGTGAAATTTTCAAAGTTTGTCTCCTGTGAGAGCGGAAGACAAAGAAGACAGATAAAGGGGCGCAGAGACACAGAGACAGAGACAGAGGGAGAGACACATCGCGCGCAGCTGCATCAGCCGCCGCAGAAATTTCCAGCGGTGCCTTCCCCGCCTGCTGCCCGGCTCTGTCGCTCCTGATCGAGGAGCGCGTCGGAGCCGGTGTCCGAGCCGATCTAACGGTCAGGAGACGAGAAGGAGGGACAGAGGAGGCAGCCCACTCCTCCAGACATCCTCCCCTCTGCGTCTGGACCCCCGCAGTGTCCGCCGATGTGGAGGTGAGTGCCGATGATGGTGTGATGTTGGCCGCTTTGACAGCGAGTTGAGGTGGTGATTGCTCAAGGACTCGCAGGTAAAGGGCCACGTGGTCTGACTGTTAACTGCGTTCTGGTTCTTACCGAGCTCTGCGGTGTGTCACCGAGTCGTAACTTTAACAGCCTCCCTGCCTGCACGGGCGTCACAGCGCGTGGGGCTGCGTGTCTGATAACATCACATATACAATAACTCAGAGAGCGTGCATCCGATTTTACATCCAACACAGTGACCAGGGTCCACAGAGTCCACAGAGTCCACGTCTTTGCACGTCTTTACGCACAGTACAGCTCCACTGCAGAGACACAAACAGCAGGAGGCAATGTGGACCTGACTGAGCCTGTGTCTGATGATCACAGCCAAATAAATACATGTGACACCAGGTCAGAGTCTAACGAGCTGTTATCACCTGTAGTGGCTGAAGAGGCTCCACAGAAGATATTATCACAATACTTGAGTCACGATACGGTATTATCGCGATATTTTACAATATGCTGAGTAACATATATTGCGATTTATTAGCTTTTTAAAACTCCAAGTTACGTCACCAAAGTAGAAAATTGCCAACATTTTAACTTGTTTAATTAAATTAGGGACTGTTCGTTATTTATGGGGGGGGCATGTCAAATAATTTTTGAGCACTTAAGGAGGAGCTATTTTTAAATTAATTTATTAAGGAGGGGCATACAGATTTAAATAGCTGTATTTCGTATTTACTTTACCGCCAATTTTTTAAGACAACATTCCTGTACATACAGAAATACCGCTGGATTTTCAAATTTCCAACAGTCCTTGGACACATCACTGTCCAAACTGGTGTCCAAATGACACTATTTATCACAGCCTGAAACTCTAAAAACAGAAATTACCACTGGATTTTCACATTTCTAGCAGTCCTTGGATACATCATGTGCGATAAACGCTTCCGTCAGAAAAAACAAACCTGCAGTAGTTAATGATGCTTTGCCAAAGGTGGATGCTGCAGCTTTTCGGAGGTCAATTGATCGAGGATTCAATCAGACACATCTAACAGAGGTATATTCATCAGAGGTTTTGAATAAAAGTTCCAATAAACACATCTGGAATCACATACAAGCCGTCACTCTGCCCCCAGGAAGATCCTCTGGGACTGCGCTTCATGGTGAAATAGTTAAAGGTGGAAAATTTGGTTCACTGGGGACAAATTCTGTCTTAATAATAAAGTGAAAGATGTTTCCTTTAAAATGTTGCATCAAACAGACTTTGGAGAGATTCAGACCTGTTCTTGGATATTCTTGTAATTTCTATGAATAGGGGTCTGTTTCTTATTTATGAGGGGGGGAGGGGATGGTGCAAAAAGGGGGAGGCATGTTGAATAATTTTTCAAGCACTGAGGAGGGTCTTGTGTGTTTTTTTTTTTTTTTGTGAAGAGGAGGGGCCACAGATGTAAATGGCTGTATTTTTTGTTCAGATTTTTTGGCAGAAATATGGCGGAAAAAGTGCAATATCCAATTCATGTGTCAAATGTGTCATGACGTGCCATTATTAATGAAGGACCGTGGAGCTGCAGAGTGTCCTGGCCCACATGTCATAGTCAGATGTAAGGGAATGTGCTTATTTGGTACAGACCCCAACATAAATCATCATCATCATTTTTAGATTTTTTTCAGTGAATATTCTGCAAAAAATTACGATTCCCATAAAAAACTGGGATTTTTTAAAATACCAGAGTTTATAAAAAGCATGAAAATGAGCTTGTTCATCAAAAACACTGGCAGGGTGGGATCCTCGGACCACCTGACAGAGGTCCGGGCTGAGCGCCAAATGTCTTCAAGTAACGCCCCTGTGTACGTGTGCGGGGCTGCTGTGAGCGGCCCCTGACCTCCTGTCATTTTGTAAAAGTGGCCCCCAGGCAAAACATCACTGCATGTAGCAACATAACAAATGCATATATTTGGCGAACTGGTGCTTAAACTAATATTTAATGAACGACTAGTAAAATGAATTTAAAAACAGTGACAAATGTGAAGATGTGCTCGTTTTGTGTCATTATGAATTCAGTAACTTTGGGTTTTGGACTGTCGGTTGGACAAAGCAAACAATTTAGAAAACATCACCCTTCAGACCTTTTGAGTCTCCTTTCCTCTTTTTTTTATAGATTGAATAAGTAAATGTTTAATAGATGTTACATTCAAATAATAAAGAAACATGAGATACATTAGCCACAGCTCCACAGTCAGCCAGAACAGGGCGTGTCCCTGGAACATGACTGCCTGTCGGGCCCGTCCTCATTGACAGACTCCAGTTCTCTGCATTTCACTAGTGCAACTGTTAGAAAAGAGCATGTGAACCGAAACTGCACCAGAACAGAAGCACTTTCTGTGTTTCAGCTTTGTATCGACTCTGTGCTTAAAGTGCAAACAGCTGCTTTCTATTCTGTGACATCCATAATATGAAACATATGAAAACAATAACTGATTTCATCTTACAAACGCTGAATGGAAACTGTAACAGTAACGCACCCCCAAAGACACGCATTGTCCTTAAAGTCGCCAAAGAATTGCATCATCTGCCGGAGCGGCTCTCTCGCATTCTGCGATGCCAGTGACAGCTCCATGGCTCATCTGAAAGGCCTGTAGCAAAAACAGCAGCTCATTACAAGTGCAGCGGCTCGGGCTTCCTCTGGCAGGAGGCTGCTGGCTCATTAAGGGTCACCGAGGGGCGAGTCTCCCTCTATGAGCCTCAGCTTGTTACCAGAGCTCTCTGTGAAACCGCTGTTAATTGGAATTAATTTATTTTCACTGACAGATTGAGGAGGTACACGAATCAGTAAAACTCCCTCCGTACAGTGAAACCTCACTGCTGTGCTGAGGATTTAAAAATGTATTGTGTGTATAATAACAGTGAGACCCGGAATCAGACGGACTGCCCCTTTTTAACAGAAACTAATACGGACATCAGCGGTTTCATTAAGAAACACATTGATGCTTCCTGTCTGCAGGGGGCGCTGCTCCTGACTGCCTCCGATATTCAGTGTTTGTCTTAAAGAGATTACCCAATGTGTAATAATATGATCCAGCCATCCTGTGGTTACATGGTGCTATATTACAATCCATTTCCATTCAGAAACACTGTTGTTAAAAGTGAAAAAAATCTATATAGGCCTACTGTTGTTGCAGAAAAAAGATAGATACATTGCAATAGGATTGGGTCAATGATTCACTTGATTGGCATCAATATTTGGATTTTTCTGTAAATTAAGTATCCAGGCGTCAACTTTAAGTTGCCAAAACTGGAAATATAATTGCCATTTTTAGTAGGACTGCCCCCTAACAGTCGACCAAACGTTACTTGTACAGAAAGGTCATTAATCGGCAAGATTTCATTGGTTGCTTAGTCACAGGAGCTGCGCCTTGTCAAAAAAAAAAGAAAACCTATATGACTGGACCATGTGTGACTTTAATTTGAAAGGACAGACACAGGAAGTGTCCACGCTCAGCAGTCAGACAGGAGTCAGGTTAATTTCCAGGGCTGGTACCTGCGGTTATTCCACAGGCTAGTTAATAACATGTCGGGCAGGAAATCCAAAGTGTGGGATCATTTTGAGAAGGTGAAGGACGAACCCAAGGTGATATGTAAACTCATCTTCATTGGTCGACTACAAACATGACGTATCATCTGAAACATGGAAGTAGCTACATGCCCATTAGCCCACAGCGTCATTAACAGGCGGCTCGCTCAGTGTGTGACGTGCACTTGTAGATAAAATATAGGCCTATATTAATGAAGGTTCATTAGTATGGTTTTGTATTTCTCTGTAATGTAGCACAGTGTTAACAATGTTACTGATACTATTTGTCAGTTTATTTGCACTTTAGTTTGTGAAGTTGATCATGGGCGCGTTATGATAAAGTGGGCCCCTGGGCGCTGATATGCAAAGGGCCCCGTCACCTCTCCTACATAGGAGCAAGAGACTCGGGTGGTTTTGCATCTCTCTATAGTCATTGACATTATTACATTTCAGTACATTATTGTAATTTGATCTTTGTGGTTTTGTGTCTCTTTGTGGTCAGTTTCAGTCTCCTCCTGGTTGATTGGTGTTAATTTAACATTTGACATTTTTGACATTTGGCCCCTGGCTTGTGCTCAGTTGGCTCATTTAGTAGTCTATCCATGATGCTGATGGGTTAGTCCAACTTTCACCCCACAGTCACAACTTCATGCTTCTCCATTGTCTCTAAAAGCATTGTCTTCGTGTGCATGTGAGTGAACGCAGCGATGCACCTGCAGCCGTGTCTCCTGCAGCGCTCTGGTTCCTGTTCTGACTGTAACAGAAATATTAATGCAACAAATATTAAATATATTTATCCTGGGTTGCTTATTTTGCTGTCCCTATTTTTTTATATGTTAAAAAGTGGTTGCCAATTTCTCAAAATGGTTGCCCATGGCAACCTGGCAACGATTACTGCGGAGCTCTGCATTGATGAGACGACTCCTGACAGACGAACAGCTCCTGTGTGTGTGGAGAGATTTTTCTATCAATAGCAGCATGAACAGAAATGTTGCTGTTAGTAAATTGAATAGTTAAATGTTTTGCAGCCTCACCGCTCTGACACTGATGTGGCTGTGAGAGGGGCTGAGGCCTCTCTGAGCTATGATAAAGACATGATCCCTCACTGGCTTCCCATCCCCAACACAGCCAACTCTGTTTGGAGATTTTTCACCACTGCAACCCTGTTTACCTGCTGGCTTATTTTTATGTTGAGAAAGATAGTAGAGAAAAAGGAATACAGGAAAATTATATGACTCTACATGTTTGTTGTTTCAACCTGACCTCATGGGACAATGTGAAATGACCATAAGTTTTCGACTTTGTCACATGTCCACATTTGGTCATGGACTTTCCACGTCCACATATGACATCCAAGATACCCTGGGTGTGTTGGTTGTTGGCGTTCTGGGACGCTGTGTCAACTCTTTTCACAGG